TACATTCATGCATCAATGTTTTTGTTGTTGAGAGAAGGTCTCACTAAATTCTAGATCCTCCTGCCCCAGGCTCCCAAATGCTAAGATTCCAGCTGTTAGTCACCACACCCATTTGAAAAATTCATATTTGATTAAACAACAAACTGAACTAAATGATAATGAAAGCAGGGGATATCAACACATGTAAGATACAGTTGAAACTCCAGTGGGAGTCTTAAATATAAATGTAGAAGAGGAAGGAGAGCTGACAGTTAATAAAGTCTCAATCTCCAGGAGTTGGAAGAGTAGGACTGAATAAAGATGTGAAACCAGAAAATAGTAAAATAGAAAACAAAAATATCTTTGATAGAATCAATAAAGTCAAAAGTTGGTTCTTTCTGCTGGGTGTGGTGGCACACGCCTTTAATCCCAGCACTCAGGAGGCAAAGGCAGGCGGATCTCTGTGAGTTCAAGGCCAGCCTGGTCCACATAGTGAATTCCAGGACAGCTGGGGCTACAGGGAGACCCTGTCTCAAAAAAACCAAAAAAAAAAAAAAAAAAAAAAGAGGTTGGTTCTTTCTGAAACAAGGTCTCTAGACCTTGTGTTGGCACATGCCAGCAATCCTAGCACTCAGGAGGCTGAGGCAGGAGGATCAAGAGTTATAGGCTAACCAGGCTACATAGTGAGGCTTACTTTTAAAATTTATTTTTATTTTATGTGTTTGAGTGTATTGCCTGCATGTGTGTGTGTGTGTGCCCATGTTGTGCAATGCCTGTGGAGGACAGAAGAGGGCATCAGATCTCCTGGAACTAGAGTTACAGATGTTACCTGCCATGTGGGTGCTGGGAATCGAACCCAGGTCCTCTGCAAGAGCAGTCAGTGCTCTTAAATGTTGAGTCATCTCTTCAGCCCTTAGGCTCACTTTTTAAAAAATGAATGAAATAGAGACTCAGAATGCTTAAACTTCAGTAAGGAGGAAACAACAAAATAGGCAGGGCTCCTTTGTTATATACTTTATCTAAAACCAACTCTGCTCTGGGAAGGGAGATGGGAGATGGGGAAGGGAGGCCTGGCTCTTTAGTCTCCCTCTTCCACATCTAAGCATGCATGTAATTTCTTCCTGCTTCAGGAAGAAGGCCTGAGAATTGAGGCACTTCTCCACTATCAGGCTCTCTGGGCCAAGCATAAAGGGACCGCTGAGCACTTGCTCCATGTTATAATGGTTCTCTCCCTCATGATGAAGGAGGCTGCCCCTCAGATCCCCCTCGCTCCCTATCCTTTGAGAAAAAGCTGCCCTCCACCTGACTCTGGAAATCCCCTTCATTGTTCAAACCCTTTCCTGGTCTCTGTTTATAATTTCTATGGAAATGGTCTGGGACAGAAGAGAGAGAACGTTCTGCCCCAGATAAGCTAGCCAATGGCAGTATACCTGATACATCTGTGTATGGTTTCTATGGGAATAATCTGGGGCAGAAGAGAAAGTTCTGCCCCAGGTAAGACAGCCAATGGCTGTATAGGTAAAGTCTCTGGAAATCAGCCCTAGATTGTTACAATCCTTTCCTGGTTATTCTGTGTATAGTTTCTATGGACATCCCCTGCTTTGTGGTTTTTCGGCTTAAAAGCCCTGCTCAGGGTCGCAGTACAGCTTCCGAGACTGTCTGTGTCCCCAACTGGTTGGCTCCAATAAACCGCTCCTTTTTACTGAGACTCAGTGTCCGAGTGGTCAATTTAGGAAATTTTACGGACCCCAAACAATGAGAGATGATCTCACAGGAGAGAGATCTAGCTCTAGGATGCAGAGATGTGACAGGAACTTGCACCAGGTGAGATGAGAACTCAAAGCATACTTGTGGTTGCATGTGATAGGATCCCAGTGTGTACAAGCCTAAGACAAGAGCTTATAGGTTCACAGCACCAAAGGAGAGAACACTGGACATGTGGGCGAAGACAAGGAGGTAAGAAACAGCCAGCAGTGAGCTAGGAGGGTTGGGGTCCTTGTGGGGGAGGACGAAGCATCAAGAAGGCAAAGAACCCTGATTGCCAGCCAGGCCATGGTAGGTGGCTGTCACCTGGTTCCATGGGGGCATGGGAAGGAGCTGCTAAACAGGGATGAGACTTGGGTTTGGGGAGGGCCACACTGAATGTGGAGTGGAGGATGGGTCAGGGAAGAGCACAACTGCAGTGGGAGCCTGGGCAGGAAGTAGTTACTGAATCTCAGATGGGCCTGACTATATTGTTGTGCTGGGGGTGGGCCATGTGAGGAGAGAGGAAACAGGACTGACAGCTTGTCATTGGCTGAGGTAGGCAATAGTCAGGAAAGCATAAAGGTGAATCCCTGATATCTGATGGAAGCAACTAGGTGAAGCATGGGGCCATTTACCCAGATAAGGAATGTTGGGACAGCAGGATGGAGAGGAACAATCCATTCAGTTGGGACACACCGACTTTAAAGGGCTATGGGCTATTCTGCTGGAATGACCCAGGATTGAGCTGGACATCTGGGCAAGGTGTGCTAGAGAGGCCGAGTCAGAGAAAGACAGGAGCCATCTAGATATAGAAGGACATCAGCAAAGGGATGGGGGTATGGAATGGATGAGAGCCCCAAGTGACAGCTGCTTAAGGCCACACAGGGTAACATCACTCCCTGGGAGAGTACTCAAAATCATCAGGAGGACTTTTCTAAGGTCCCTCTCCCACACAGAGTTTTAGTGAGTACCCTCAAGAGAACTCTGCTTTTGAGGAGGAACTGAGTTAAACTAGCAAGAAAATTGGTGTGCTATTTTTCTAGTTTGTTTCTCTGTTGGTGTGATAAAACGCTGATGAAAAGCAGCTTAGGAAGTGCCACCAGTTGGGAACTAAGTGCTCAAAACATGAGCCTGTGGGGGACATTTCACACCCAAACCATAAAAACTGGTGAGAAGAAGAGTCAAGTTAGGCATAGGGAATAAAGGAAGAACCCAAGAACTCAGGGAACACAGGAGAGTGAGGTGCCCCGGGTGTTTACTGAGCAACTAATGTTAGTGCACAGAAGAGAGCCTGTGAAAATGTCACACTCCCACAGCTCCATTCTGTTGACGGTGACTCTGGAATCTCCACTGCAGATACAGGTGGTATGTCACACATGAAGACAGGCATGGTTGGCACTGCCTGCAGAGAAGACAGATTCCCCGGAAATAAAAACAAAGAAGGTTTAACAAATTCTGCTTCTCTGAAGGTCACTGGTAACTATAAGAAAGAGAGTTTCAGTGGCATCATGGGAGTAGAAGGCAGATTGCAGTGGGCGAAGAGTGAATGGGAGGTGGGAAAGAAGATGGCAAATGCAGACCCCTCTTGGGAGAAGTTCGGGTGAGAGGCAGAGAGAGCGCATCCTCCTCCTCAAAGGCCATCTTCCATATCCTGGAGAAAGTTGGCAAAGAGAATTAGGGGAATCTGGAGACTGAGTAAGACGTTCCGCAGACCCTCAGAATATGCCAGGGAGACAAATTAGGAATCAGCAGGGGCTTAGCACAATTCATACTGCCAAGTCGCAAGCCCAACCCAGTCTGCCTGCCTTTAGTCTCTCCAAATCCAGTCCACTGTTTCCACCATTAGTCCACTGTCTCTGCCACCATCTTTCCATAAACTGTTTTCTCACCTCACACCAGGGGGCTTTGTTTTTGAACCAGCATTTAAACTTCTCTGTCTTCTTCTCTACTTCCTTCAGCACCTTCACCTCTACCTACACTACAGTCATCCTGCACCCAGGCCTCATGGAGTCACTGGCTATTCCCTCAGGCAATGGTGCTGCCATACTCTCATTAGCTCTCTGGTCATCTTAGCCCACTCAGATGCCACACTTGGAAGAACCAGCACCTTGCCCAGCCTCTGCTACAGAACAAATGGAAAAAGCTATTCTATATCTATTTCCCTCCCTCCTGGACTGTGCCTGCCACAAGATCGTTACAGGTGACTCTTCTCAGGGTCTTTAGCATCTGGCCAGGGCTGAGCTCCTGGTAGATGCCAGGAACTGAGGTAGTGGGGCTTCACTCCTGAGTACCTGTTAAACATACAGCAAATGTTTAAATCATGGAGTGCTGCCAGCAGGCATGGTGGTGCACACCTTTAATCCCAGCACTTGGGAGGCAGAGGCAGGCAGATCTCTGCGAGTTCCAGGACAGCTAGGGCTACAAGGAGACCCTGTCTCAAAAAGACAAAAAAATAGGGGCTGGAGAGATGGCTCAGCGGTTAAGAATACTGACTGTTCTTGCAGAAGAACAGGGTTCAATTCCCAGCACCCACATGGCAGCTAACAACTGTTTGTAACTCCAGTTCCAGGGGATCTGACAGCCTCTTCGGTCCTCCACGGGCACTGCACGACATGGGTGCACTTACCTACATGCAAGCATAACACTCATACACATAAAAATAATAAATATTTAAAAAAATAAAAATTATGGAGTACCCCACTGGTCCTTTGATCCATGTTATGGAGTGTGACCTTCTTCCTCTCCCCCCTTTCCTTTCTTCCACTGAACTAACACTCTCATTACTCTTTAAGTTGAATATACAGGCAGGTGTCTCCTGGGAACCAGGGCAAGGCGACTTTGGAAAGCGCACCAGAATTCCTTCTCCAGGGTTATTACTTTGATTCTCTCCTTCATTCTTATAAATTCTAGACGCTACCTGCAACTACGGTGTTGAGCCGAGACATTCACTGGAAAGCACTACATAAATTCTGGTTGTTTTTCGGCTCTGGGGATCCTAGTAAAATAGAAGCTCAGCGTCACGATATCAACAAACTGTATTTGTCATTTTCAGTGACGAACGGTCCCCAAAGCAATACTGCTTTTTGAAGTTTGTTCCCAGAAGACAACTTCAGGCCACGCGGGTCCTCTGGCACACTTAGGACGACTACAAGCGAAGCACCGCCCCCCGACCTCCAAGCTACGCCCCTTTCAGCGCAAGTGCTGGCCTCGTACTGTTGATTGGCACTTTTCTTTACCAATAATAAGTGAAGTTACTGTCAACGTCCGGTTGGGAGGCGGGACTTCCGTTGGGTTGCTAAGACACTCTTGTTTGCTTCTTGACAACCCTGGCGGGGGTTGCGCTGGCTGCGGCCCCGGCTCTGGCCCCGCGGGAGCAGGTGAGGCCGCCGGGTGCGGCGGGCGGCCGGGCGGGACGGGCTGGCCCGGAGGGAGGGCGGGAGGCCGCTCGGGGCTGGGCGAGGACTTGCTCAGCGCCAAGGCCTCTCCTGGGCCCCCTGCCTGCAGTTCCCGGGCCCCAGGACCTCCCCTCAGCCCCACTTAGTGTACCGCGGAGCTCGCGGCGGTGTTAGCGCCTGGACGCTGCAGGCCGCGCCTCCCCATCTGAGGTGGCGGACCCTTCCTGTTACGACTCCCCCAGCACCGTGGTCCCCGCACCACCCTCATCACCGCGCTGCTGGGCTCGGTGGTCGCCATCGCCTCGGCCCAGATCGCTGGGTTTGGAGATTCGACGACTTCCTGGGACTCGGGACTGACCATGACCCGTTTGGGGCCTCAGTTTCCCCATCTATAAAGGAGAAAGTTGAGTTGAATGCTCTCCAAGGCCTTTGCACTCTGACGATCTAGGATGTTGTTCCTGAACTCAACCGTAGGCTCCCTAGAGGATAGTTTCTCCCTTTATGTAATGCCAAGAACTTGGCAAACCTAACTTGGATTCCCACTTGTAAATAGTAGCAAGTTACCTGAGACCTCTGTGACCGTTTTTAAAGCCAAAATTCCGAAGCCCAGCTGTTTGTGAATTGTGCAAAGAACCCCGTCCAGTGTAGTTTCAATATTTATTTGCTTCCTTCCTCCCCACCCCTTTTTTTTCCCTCTCTCTCTCTCTCTCTCTGTGTGCGTGTGTGTGTGTGTGTGTGTGTGTGTGTGCAGGTTCATGTGGAGACCAGATATCAATATCAACATTTTTCTTCCTCCCCCCCTCCTCACTTTTTGAGGGGGAGGGATTCTTTTTGAGACCATAAACAGGGATAGCCCCAGCTGGTCTGGAACTCCCCATGAACTCACAGAGATCCTCCTCCCTCTGCTGCTTGAGTGCTGGGATTAAAGGCATGTGCCACCATACCAGGCTTTCTTCACTTTATTTATTTATTATTTATTTGTTTATTTATTTTTGTCTTTTTGAGACAGGGTCTCCCTGTAGCCCCAGCTGTCCTGGAACTCACTATGTAGACCAGGCAGGCCTCGAACTCACAAAGATCTGCCTGCCTCTGTCCCCCAAGTGCTGGGATTTCTTTATTTTTTAAGGCAGAGCTCATTGGCCTGAAGCTTACCCATTTGGCTAGACCGACTAAGCAGTGAGCTCCATGGATCCTTCTGTCTGCCTCCCCAGTGCTGGGATTACAGGCATGGCTGCCACATCTGGCTTTTATGTGGGTGCTGGGACTCAAATTCAGATCTTCATGCTTGGTCAGCAATCACTTTTATCAAATGAGGCATCTCCTCAGCCCCCTAGTTGTGTTTCCTAATCTCTTACTGCTCCCACATTTTCCCCTTCTGGAAGGAAACCAGAGGTTTCCTGTGGGACCTGCTTAATATCGACTGTCATTCTTACAGCTGAACCTCAGATCCACTCTCCAGCCTTGATGTTTCCCTGTACTTTGTTGTTAGGGTTTGTTGGGGGTGGGTGATGAGGAAACAGGAAGAACTTGATGGTATGTTGTGATAGTTGAACTCATTGCTTCCTTTCCACTCCTCTCCATCAATGATTCTGTTTCTTACTCTTGTTTAGATGCCTCTGCACATTTTGCAGGCCACTTGAACTCAGTAGTGCTAAAATCAAACTGGCCTGTTTCTCTACCTACCCCTCTGTCCTACCTGGTTTCTCTCTACCCTGCCCAGCCTATTCTGCTGGGGCAGTTACCAAGTTTTCTTGATTCTGCCTCTATGTGGACCTCACATCCTATCCTCCCTATTCCTGAGGCCACCATTGTGGTTCAGGTCATTAATGCCTGTCACATTGACTATTTCTTTAGCTTCCTAACTGCTTGTTTCTACCAACCCAACTCACCAGCCACTAAGAAAACTCCAAAGAGGCCAGGCATGGTGATATATGCTTGCAATCCCAACACTTGGGAGGTAGAGACAGGAGTATCAGGAGTTTAAGACTGTCCTCAGCTGACCAGTTCAAGGCCAGCTTGTGCTACATGAGAACCTGCTTCAAAAAACAAAAATCCACACTTAACAGCTGGACTCCATCCAGCCTTTGCTCCCAACCTTGTTGCCCCTCCTCAGCTGGGTTTCATCTTCTGGTTCAGGAAGGCTTGAGCTTTGTCTTTCTTTTCTTGTTCTTTTCTTTTTATGTTGTTGTTTGGGTTTGGGGGGGGGGTGATTGCTCCCTGCAACACCAGCTGGCCTAGAACTTGCTACATAGACTAGGCTGGTCTCAAGGTCTCAATCTCACTTGCCTCTGCCTCCTGAGTGCTGAGATTAAAGGCATATGCCACTATACCCAACAAACCTAATGTCTTTACCCATAGTATTTGGTCCTCTCTCCCTGGAGGGTCTCACCAGTGCTGCCCTTGACACTGAGCTTCCCCTTATTCTCCTCTTCCCTCTGTCTCTGCATGTCTTTGTACTGTAAACCATAACTCCTGTGTATGTGGGTGGGTTTTTATATCAGACTGGAAGCTCTGTGAAGGCAGGACTGCCTCTTATAGTTGAGTACTTCGAAGTCCTGCGTACTTGGGTGAAATCTGGCTCCTCAGTTTCTCAGCCTGGTTGGGAAGTCGCTTTGCTTTGCTCAGGCCATGTGCTCATTATTAGCACAGGTAGAATAGTGCCTGTCTCAGTCTTTAAGGAGGAGTGAGTTTTTAAAAAATTTTTATGTGTATGCATGTATTGCCTGCATGTAGGTAAGTGTACCCATGTCGTGCAATGCCCGCGGTGGACAGAAGAGGCTGTTGGATCCCTTGGGACTGGAGCTATGGACAGTTGTTAGCTGCCATGTGGGTGCTGGGTTTTGAACCTGGGTCTTCTGCAAGAACAACTAGTGTTCTTAACTGCTGAGCCATCTCTCCAGCCACTGAAGGAGGAGTGAATTTTTGAGAGCCTGTGTGTACCATTCCCCTCCTAGTGCCTGGCTGAAGATTTGTGTGTGTGTGTGTGTGTGTGTGTGTATAAAATTGTTTGTGTGTATGTGTGTATACATGTTCCTGTATAGGAGTGCATGTGCATATGGTGGCCAGAGGTTGATGTCAAGTGTCTTCCTTAGTCACTCTCCACCTTATTTTATGACACAGAGAATCCTCCTGTCTCTTCCTCCCCAGCACTGAGATTAAAGGCGCATATCACAATACCCAGCTTGTGTGTGTATGAGAGAGAGAGAGAGAGAGAGAGAGAGAGAGAGAGAGAGAGAGAGAGAGAGAAGGGCACACATGTACACCATGGTGTGCATGTGGAGTTCAGAGGACAGCTTTTGGGAGTTGATTCTCTCCCCTCACCTTGGGTTCTGTTTTGAACTCAGAACATCAGGCTTGCATGGCAGGTCCTTTTGAGCCATCTTGCTGGCCCTGCGCCCAGCTCTTTATGTGGTGCTAGGACTCACGTCCTCATGCTTGTGCAGCCAAACAACCATCCCCCGTGCCCCAGTGCTTAGTAAATATTATTGGGTGACTTTGCTAAGTCCTCTCCCCCCAGGAGGTAAATGAAATATAATTTAATTACATTTTGAATATCTTTTGGATATTCAGACACTGGACTGCACAGTCCAGAGCAGAAGAGACACAAAGCCCTTGAGCCCAGGGCACTGTCTGCACTCACAACATGCAATGAAGTCGTGATCACTTGGAAGACGTCACCACCATTTAGCAATTGTGAATGGGTTTTCAGGAAATAAATCAGTGTTAGTGCAGTTTGCTTCTGTGATAATGTCACTCTTAGTCCCTTACGTTGCAGTCTGTTTTGCTGAGTGCAAAAGAAGCAGGGCGGGAGCCTGCGTAACCTGCTGTCTGTGCATAGCTACTCTTGTGCAGAGCCCTTGGCTGCCATGGTTATGACTTTTTGTTACACTTGTCTTTGACGAAAATGTTTGGGATTTCGTCCAAAATTGAGTATGTCCCTGGGGGTGTACTGTGTGAGTCACTGTCATTTAGCATGTGGTGTTGGACAAAGAGTTGCCTAGCACAACCAGTCAACAGATGTCTCTTCTAATCCACACCTCTCTCCCTTCCTTCCCTTTTCTTCTCCTTCCCCATGGTCAAAGGCATAAAAAAGTTTTCACCGGGATAAAAATGTTTTCACCAGGCATGAGCGAAATTGAGAAAAGTTAAGGACTTTTTGAAACAAAACAAAACAAGCCTTTGTATGTGTGGAAAGGTAACTCCTGAGAAGGGCTGGCCTCTTCTGTTATCCCTCCTTACTGTTAACCTTTCTCTTGTTTACAGTAGATGGTAGTCTCCCCCCTCTCCAGGATCCCACTCTATTAACCATGTTGTCCTCAAACTCATTATGTAGCCCAGGCTGGCTCCTGAGATTGCAGGCATGTGCCACCACACCCATGATGTGTTTCTGGTGCTCTTACAGTAAAAGTGGAACCAGCAACCTGGCAGCCTTGGGTTTGCTCCCTGCCCCAGCCCTGGCCTAGGAAACTCCAGCCTCTGGGGACCCAGTCATCTTGCCTCACTCTGAAGTTCCTAAGATCCTTTTCCTCACCTTGCCAGCCTTGTTCTCATTTGTGTGCTAGAAGGCAGAGAGTGACATGTCAAGAAAAAGCATTGATGACCAAGGAGCACAGTGCATGTCCCTGGCATGACTGGAGGCAGGAGGCAGTCCCAGGTGGATGACTGGGCTGGCAGGTCCTGGTATTGGAATTATTTCTTCCAAAGGAAAAAGTATGGAAGGTGAAGTCAGGAAGACAGACTTGGGCTCAGATTCTGGCTCTGCCAGTGTTGACTGCACACTGAGGCCAGTCACCATACCACTCCGAACACTATGTTTATTCCCACCCTCCCCTAGGGTCCCTCTTTAGAGCTGGAGGCCAGTACATCACTGAGGAGCTGTCAAGCAGAGAATGTGAAGGTACAATGTAGCCACACCACTGCTGCCATTGGCCTAGCCTCGGCTTCACCAAATGTGCCTGTGACTCTCTTCCAGTGCTAACATAGAGGCTGGCCCACCATGGGGAAGTATGGGTTTGCTGAGCCGAATGTTTAGATATGGACTTGGCTCCTGTGAGGAAGGATGCTGAAGTTGCCCTTCCTGCCACTCCAGGAACAGGTGCTGATCCTTACTGTGATGTAGAGCCAATTTCCCACCTCCAGATGAGAAATGGAGGCTTAGGGGCCTGAACACATCAAGAACAAACAGACCTGAATTCAGACCCTCCCTATGGAGCCTGCCTTTGGAATCATCATGACACTCTCCAAGGGGGTCCTGCAATCTGCAGTCTCTCTGATTTGTAATGGATTATAGAGGGTGGTGAGCCTCAACCTAAAGGCCAAGAATGTTCCTCCTACATTTTATGTAGGCATGCGTATGCACACACACACACACACACACACACACACACACACACACAGAGCTGGCAGGTAGTTTTGGCTTCCCAGAATCCTTGCACTTTTCTTTTCGCCCTCTAACTCTCTTAAGAATTCTCCCTAAATGCTTCAGAAGCAAAGATCTAGGTCAGTGCCACAATGAACAAGAACCTGTGGGACAGGGACACTGACTTTTGAGAAGGTAGTGGGGCAGATCCCTATGTGTGCTTCTTGGCTGCAGCAATAGAAAGTACCAAAGGGGTCCCAGGGGAGGAAGAAAGAGCAAGGTTGTGCTTGGCTTCATGTGCCACCATGGGCCAGATAGCAGGGGGTCAGGCTTTGGTACCCTGGCCTTGGCAGGCTTACATTATTAAAAACTGTGTTCTCGTCTGACACAACCTCTCTGCCATGTGCTCATGCACAAGGGAGATTGATAAGGCTATTAAAACCCAAGATCTGCTATTTTTGGTAGCATCCGTTCAGCAGGGTGTTCTAATCGTGACTGAGTGACTGGATCTGTGCTAGAATGATCCAGGGTCATAAAACCTCTCCTCCCTCCCTGTGTGGAAGCACATCATCCCTTTGGGTTTCCAGGAGTACATGCAGTGGTTAGGAAAGGCTATTTGTGATCACATATCATGGTCAATAATACATGTGGTTGAATGACTGAGTCCTGGTCAGTAGGACAGCAGTCCAGGAGAGCACCAAGGCTTTCTAATGCTCATGTGCAGACACGGGGGTATGTGTCAGCCTGCTGAGAAAGAGAAGAGGCGAGTTCATAGCTGTCTCCTAGAAACCAGGCCTGGGTGCAGTTACTTGCCCAGAGCTCCAAAGCAAGAAAGTGGATAGAACCCAGTTCTATTAGAGAGCTGGTATCTAGACCTAAATGCTGTATTTGTGTGTTTATATCTTTATTTTGTAGTGCTGGGGATCAAACCCAGTGCCTTGCACCTGCTAAGTAAGTGCTTTCCTAAGCCATGCCCCCAGCCCCTAACCCTAAATGTTCTGACTTGGTATCCTCCATTCCATGCTGCTTCCTGGAACTGTCTTGGGGCTTGCCCCCTTTTTTCCTAAAAAGAAGACTTTGGTAGCACTCCCAAAGTCCTGTGGCCTTCTAGAGACTGTGTGTGTTGAGGTATAGACCTGACCACCTTGAGGATGGTGTGTGCACCCTGGGCTCTGAGTGTCCTGTCCTGCAACCCCCACCTCGTCCCCTGCCTGCCAGCCCTTCTTGGCTCCAAAGATGAATTAAGTTGGAACACTTGGGTGGAAGATGCCACAGTAACTGTTTCCACACTTTAAGTTGTTCCCATGTGGGATTCTCAGAGGTGAACAAACCAGGAAACCCTAGCACCCCTCTGTCACATCACTTTTTGATGAAGGTGGAGGAGGAGGTAATAAAGCAGCCGTGATTAAAGCTAGGAGCATAGGGTGGAATTCAGGCCAGCACAGAGACAAATGGCTCATCAGATTTAATGGAACAAGAAACCTGACCAGCAAGTGCAGTGAGATTGTGCTTGGTAAACAGCCAGCTCGTATGTAGAGACAAACAAAGCTTGCTAATATCCGACTTGTACAAATGCCCAGAGTTATGAGATAAGAGGAGCCATCTGTACCCTGGGAAATCAGAAAACACTGGTGTTGTGGAATGGTGGACTCTGTGCCAAACTTCCAGCCTGGCTCGAGGAAGCCCACCAAATAGGGTGGCACCAAGGGCTTGTGAAGCATCGGAGAGGAGGTGAATTTTTGAAAGCTCAGTCTAGAGTACTCTAGAAAGAGTACTAAGAAAGCTCAGTCCTTGGCCAGACCAGAATAACAGTCACATGAGAACCACAGACACTGGAAAGGGTGATAGAACATACATGTCACTACCTGGTCATCTGAATCACACTAGTGGTCAGGGCCATGAGCATGCAGCGAAGACCCCTATGCACACATGACACAAGGAAGCTCAAAAGATAGGACTTTGGAGAGCTGCTCCAGGGCAGTGCTATAGCCAAACCCCAGATCTGCCCACACCAGAGCTGAGTGACTCGGGCCGGAGGTATGAGCCTTCCTGCCTCCACTCACACAGACTCTAGCTTCCAGAATCATTGTAGTGATGCACAGCATAAAGACTTAAGTGCTAGGAACTGGGGCTGGCGTGTGGCACACCTAATCCATATCACCCGCTGTTATCTGCCTGTTGGCCAGGCATGGTGGCCTGTGCCTGTAGTCCTAGCTACTCACAGGCCAAGGCAGGAGGATCATTTGAGACCAGAAGTTCCAGGCCAACCTGGGCAACCTAGTGAGGCTCCCTCTCAAGATGTCTGTCTACACATGTACCTGTTAACTGTTCTAAGCATCTTGGGGCTCAGTGACTGCACAGTAAAATTAAATTTATTTGTAGATGCAAGAAATGCTGGCATCATATATTGTGGTTGTATTTGTCCACCCTAATTTTCTAGAAAGGGTTGCCATTGTAGTGATTTGTATTCCTGTGTATCAGTACCTCTGAGGTAAAAAGACCTTTGAATTTATTCTAGGATATGTTGAACAGCAGGATGAAGCATCTGGCTTCTGCAGGACTGGTAGTCACTTGGGCTATGGTCCATTTCTTTATGAAAAATCTTGTCTATCATTAAATACCCAGATCTGATGGGGAGGCACTTGTGTACATATGAGGTTCTATGACTTTGCTACCACACCCTCGTGTAGGCTCTCATTGAGTCTGCTGGGAGCCAGAGGAGGGGGAGCCACCATTGACTGACTCCCACATGCTCTGCACTCACCTTCTCTCATTGAATTCCCTGCCATGGGTATGGCTGGTGCCTGATACTGATGAGGACTCTGTTGCCCCAGGCTGTGCTGCTGATCATTGGCTAAACTGGACCAGCACCCAGGCCTCCCAGTTCCTGGATCAGCTCGACTGGTGACTTTGGAGGTAGTAGACAGGGACCATCAGGGAGCCTGGTGTGCCAAAGAGGACACTGGGCAGCACTGCTACTGTTCTGAGGATCTGGGTCCTATAGAAGGGACCCCCTCCCTTAGTGACAAGTCCAATTCTCAGTGGTCACCTGAGCATTTAACTTCCTCACAACTAGCTGCCCTGTTGTAGGCACCAGGAGAAAGTGCTCTTGCTAATTGGCAGCTCTCGGCTTCATCCTGGGCCTGGCCCACAGTCAGTATCTGTCTTGACAATGACAGTGTGTTCTTTCAGCATCTTGGGTTGACTCACCCTCCGTCTGCAGACTTGCTGGCCATTTGGGAAAGGAGGCAGAGGCGTTCAGATGGGGAGGTGTCAGATTGTTACTGAGACATTTCTAATTTGTGATGTGTGGTTTTCAAGCCAACTCTTTCCTCCTGGTTTTCCTGTTTCTGCAGCACCCCTTGGGGAAAGACATTTTCTGCTCCCACCAAGTTGTCAGGGCCTGCTTCCTGAGCCTCCTGAGTGTTGTAATTGCTGAGCCCAGTGCCTCCTAAAAGCCCCACTCTCCTCCAGAGGGCACGCTGGGAAGACCATGGGAGAGACTGAAGGGAAGAAAGAAGAGGCCGACTATAAGCGCCTGCAGACCTTCCCTCTAGTCAGGGTAAGCCTGGGGAGGGAGGAAGGTGTCCACCAGACCCCCACAGCCTGCAGAGCTGGGTGGAGCTCTCCCTCTGTAGGTGGCAGTGGGAAAGGAAAGGGCTCTGCTGGCTCAGATCCAAACATCTAGGAGTCACAGTGATTCATTCTTTCATCCATTCATTCATTCACCAAATATATGTTCAGGCCACCTGCTGTGTGCCAGGCATGGTTCTAGGCACTGTGGAGATGGTGGCAAACAAGGCATATGGTGGTCTGACCCATGAAAGGAATCTTTAAAAAACACAATGGGGGCTGGAGAGATGGCTCAGCGGTTAAGAGTACTGACTGCTCTTGCAGAGGACCCGGGTTTGATTCTCAGCACCCACATGGCGGCTACACAAAGCGTCCTTAACTCCAGTTCCAGGGGAATCCAAAGCCCTCTTCTGACCTCTGCAGCATTGCATGATACGGATGCACTCACATATATGCAGGCAATATACTCATGCACATAAAATAAAAAAAATAATAATAAAACACAATGGACCAGGCATGGTGGCATATACCTTTAATCCCAGCACTTAGGAGGCAGAGGCAGGTGGATCTCTGGGAGTTCAAGGCTAGCCTTGTCTACACAGAGAGTTCTAAACCTGCCAGGCTACATAGTGAGACCCTGTCTTAAAAAACAAAATAAAATAAATAACACAGTGGTAGGCAGTAAGTGCTGTAAAGGAAAAATGAGCAAGTACAAGGGCTTTGGGAATAGAGGTCAGCTTCTGAAAGAAGTCACTCAGACCAGCGACCCTCGTCAAGTTACATGGCAGGCCTTGTGAGGACCTGAGGAAGATCTGCCCTGCAAGGAAGTATCAGGACTGGAGGCTGGGTGGGACAAGCTTGGCATTGCCAGCATGGGCCCCTGAGGGGTGGTGGGGCCAGCCTGTGTCTGGTGGCCATGTGAGGAACATGGTGAAAGATGTTCTGTCCTGAAGTCTGAGGAGCTGTTGGGGGCTGGGAGAAGGGGGATGGCATCTGTCTTATGTCGTTAGAAGATTGCTCTCCCTGAGAGGAGACTCAGAAAAGTCGTGAGAGGTCGATGTGTAGTGACATAAACTGCAGTGACCAAGCCAGGCCCTGTAGTAGGGGTGTAAGATGTGCCCAGAGCCCACCCAGAGGCAGAGCCCAGGGGCTTGCTGTGGATGCAGTCTCTGGGGGAAGGGGAAGACAGTCAAGAATGAGCCAGAGTTTTCATTTTGCTCCAATAGTGTCCCAGAGATGTTCCGAGGAACGTGGAGCTGTGAGCAGAGCATGTTTGGGGGAAATTGAAAGCTAAGTTTTAAGACACTTGAGTGAGGTGGTCATGTAGGCCATGGGGCCTAGGGAGTACGAAACCCAAGGAAACGATGAAGAAGGCACAGCTGTGTGAAAGACCCATCCCTTCGGGCTCCAGGAAACAGCCCACTCTAAACCATTTTCAGCCACCTTCCTCTCATGGGGCCACTCTCCTGTCCACCCTTGCCCCTTGGTGGGAACATGGTCCCTTGCAGAGGGACCTGGGCCCAAGAGTTCACAGCTCAGCATCATCTCACACCTGCTTTGCCCCAGCTGCTGGCCCCAGTCAAGATGAGTTACCTGCCCAGGTCTGGGCCAGGAAAGCCACCTACTGTCCATGCCTTAAGCTTAGGACTGAGAGGCTGGCCAGGAAGGCCAGGTCATGGGCTAAGCCTCTCTCTGTTTGTCACTCTGCCCTGTCTCTAGCACTCGGACATGCCAGAGGAGATGCGAGTGGAGACCATGGAACTTTGTGTCACAGCCTGTGAGAAATTCTCCAACAACAATGAGGTATTGCTATCAGTGCAGGCGGCCCTCATGCCTCTGGTGACCCTGTGTGTGATAGGGTGGCCCCAGAGCACTGGAGCCAGCTCCGCAGTCCTGCTAGAGCAAGGCTAGGCCTTACTTAGAAGTGGCCACTGTTCTGGAGGCCAATGAGAGAAGAGACTGGTGCTAGCCAGGGCACCAAGGGCCACACCCAGCTTCAGAGGGAGGGAAGCCAGCAGGGTCTTCATGTCACCTCTGCCCCTGTCCCCTCAGGTGGGCTGTTGGCTAGGGCATCTTCCCTGGGCTCCATCCCAGCCATGAGCAGAGGCCTGCCAGGCATTCATTCATAAATTCATCCATCCATTCAGAAGGGGTAAAGCCCCGGCTCAGTGCCGGGCACTCCTCTAGGTGCTGTGAATGTGGCTGTAGGCATCATCCCAGCAGTGCCATTCACAAGGCTGTGGTAAGACAGAGGGAGGTGGTGTATCTGCTTCTCGGCAGACCCTGGCTGCGTTTACTCAATTTCTCAGCTCTGAGCCACTGAGATGCCCAGGACACAGTGCTCAGTGTGGCACCCAGCATGTAGTGAGTTGCTGGCATGCATCAAGTGCCTGCTACCCCAGTGCTTGGCTCTTCCCCAGATCTCTTCATGCTGGAGGAAACCTCTAGAAAGAGCCTGCACAGGAAGTGGTGTGCTGTTACTGGGCCTGGGGCTTCATTTTAGAATTGGCCATGCCCATTAGGAAAACTTCTTACAAGGCAGCCCTCAGGGCCTGTGTCACCCTCTCAAACCACATAGTGCCCCCACTCTGTCGTTTTTTTTAATCTTGACAACAGCCTTATGTCCCATTTCTCCAATTCACAGCAGAGGATGTTGGTGCTGGTCAGGAGATCAGCGTGACACAGAGCAGCCCTCAGCCCAGACTTCCTCAAGCCTTGCTCTGTTCCTAACTTCACCAGTCCCTTCCTGACCTTGGAGATCCTGTCCAGATGCTGTCCTGTGTGGCAGCCCTGCATGAAACTGCTGTACAGAAACATCAGCCCATCCTGCAGGCAGACTGAAGGCAGGCAGGGGCCGTAGCCTGTCTGTCCAGGGCTCAGTGCCAGGTTTCTCCTTCCCCTGTGCCTGTCACTGCTCCTCACCAGCGCTCTCTCCCTTCCAGAGTGCCGCCAAGATGATCAAAGAGACGATGGACAAGAAGTTTGGTTCATCCTGGCACGTGGTGATCGGCGAGGGCTTTGGGTTCGAGATCACCCATGAGGTGAAAAACCTCCTCTACCTATACTTCGGGGGGACCCTGGCCGTGTGTGTGTGGAAGTGCTCCTGACACCATCCCCACAGCTCTCCTGCCTCTCCTCAGGGACAGGGAGCAGCCCCAGGCAAAGCCTGGCTCTTCTGAGGAGAGTTTGGGGTCTTTTCTTTTGTCCTTGTGTACCAGTTTCCTGAGCCATGCCCAGTGTGTGAATTTGGTGACATCTCCACTCCTAGGCTCTTAGCCATCTCCCTCTGAGTCCCAAGCTGTGGACAGGCATCTCTCTTTGGGTGAGGGGTGGGATCCTATGACAGGTGGAGTTGGGGACACAGGATTTTTCTGATCAGTACATACCATCCCACTTTGCATCCCAGAAGCCCCACTGCCCTTCCACCCCCAGCACTGTTGGGGACATGTCCACTGTCCTTGTCATTAATGGCCATATGGAAGCAGCCCCAGAAAGGGCCTTTCCTCTCATGAGACATGGACTGCTTCTCTCATTGTCCGCTGGGGAAGGGGACCTCTTCCCCAGCCTGACCCGGGGCTGAACAGACCACCACACCTCACAGGACCAGCAGTTCACAGCCCTAGCTTTGGTATGAGAACCACGCAGCCTTCTTGTCCCCTCCTCCCAGCTCGGGCCGCATGCACCTTTCACAGCACCTCCACCAGACCAGCTGCAGGGCTGAGAGCCAGGGCCATGGTGTCGAGCAGGTTCTGGAGGTGTCACTGAGCCCCGGTGAGATGCCTGGGCCAGGAGTGCTCTCGCCGCAAGGCCCCTTCAGCAGGGAAACCTGGCCTGCCAGGGACTTCATCAGGGACCGCATGCTATTTGTACTTCTTACCTTGCTGGCTTTTCTAGATTCTTTTTGAGTGTGGGGAGAAGGGTTTTAGTAGAAGGGTGAATCATATTTTACACAGCGGTCTTATTTATATAAATGTCTTGGTTTTTACAATTAAAATGACCAAAAACTGATCTAAGTCTCTGACCTTTTGAAGCATCCTAGGACATGGGCCCCATCCTACCCTGTTCAGGCTTTATGTCCAGTTGTAGCAAGATCTGTCATTGGATCTGATGGACAGCAGCACAGCGAAGATCAGTGTACCTGGGGAGGGGCTTGCTCTGTGTGTGTGTGTGTGTGTGCTGCACATGTATGCAAGTACAGGCCTGAAGAGCAGTCACACTGTCACTTGGGCAAGTGGCTTGAGGATCTAACCTCAGAGCAGGTCCTGGCCTTTTGGACTGGGTAGAAGGTGAACCTTGGTCCCAGGCCTGCCTGGAGCCATGCACCACAGGGGGTGCTGCTAGAGAGATGGGCCAGCCTGGAACTGAACTGGAAGGGGTGAGATCAACTGAGGTGGCGTAGGAGGCAGAGAAGGGGGTACCAGCCTGGAATAGCTGTGGCTGATGAACGCCCGCCTGGCATCTGTTCTTCCCTTAATCTGCCACACGTGGGTACTGCCAAGTGAGACTGGCTCAGCCAGCAACTAAGGTGGGGTGGTGACTGGGATTATGAGCTCCAGGGTCCCCAGATCCAGCTCTTGCCAGTACTGTGCCTCTCTTCTGCTCTAGGCCTCAGCAGCTTTGTCTGTAGAGTGGACGTGAGACGCCTGCCTCCCCAGGTTGCTGGAGTGATCACACACTGTACTGCTACTGCGACCCTTTCCGTGTCCCTGGAGACGGGGTGCCTGTGTGGCTCACCCAGGTTTGGAAGCTCAGCACGGTGGAGCTGGTGTAGTGCCCAGGCCACACAGTGTTGTGCTTGCCACCATGGTGACTGCTGTCACTGCAGCGGACCCTTCCTCCTCCCAGGGAGTGTGGTTGTGTGTCCCCTTTGGGGCCAGGTAGGTGATAGGGTACCATAGTAGGGGTGCCCCCAGGGATGTCTTTTTCTTTTAACAGTATGTGTAAACATTTTGAAATTATAATTTAAGGGCAAAACCTAAAAAATTATGTTGCTTCAGCTAGAGATTAAGTGCCTTCTCCCCATAATAAAGTCATAGTTTACTATTTAATTACACCCCTGTGATGATTAGCTTTAATTGTCAACTTGACACAACATAGAGTACCTAGGAAGAGAGTGTCAATGAGGGGTTGTCTGCATTGGGTTGTGGCATGTCTGGGAGATTATCTTAATTAAGTTAATTGATGTGGGCAGACCTGGCCCCCTGTGGGTGGCAACCTTCTCAGAAAAGGGGTCCTGAACTGGGTGAGAGTGGAGAACTTGAGCTGAGCACAAGTGAACAAGTACGCATGCGTGCATCCTCTCCTGACTGACTAGCTGCACCACGCCCTGCCACTGTGACGTGCAGTGCTGACTAGAACTGGAACCGTGAGCCAAAATAAACTCTTTCTCCCCTAGGTTGCTTTTTGTCAGGGTGTTTATACCACCACAACAGAAATGAATCTAGGATAGCTCCCAGCCTTGAGTTTTTGTTCAGTAAAAAGGAACCATAGCATACACAGAAAATGCTTTTTATTACTATAACCATTTCTGTGGCTCGTGTGGCAGCACATGTGACTCCAAAACTACATTTTGAGGCAACTGAAAAGCCCCAGTTCCACGTTTCAAAACCTGCTCTTAAAATTTATAGGAAAGGGCTTACTTGGTAAAGTGTTGGTAAAATTTATAGGAGATGGCTTAGTTGGCAAAGTGTTTGCTTCATAAGCATGAGGATGTGAGATCGGATACTCAGAACTCATGGAAGAAGCTGTGTGTGGCTAAGGAGGTACTGTAATCCCAGTGCTGGGGAGGCAGAGACAGGAAGAGCCCCAGTGAGGGACCCTACTCCTTGAAATAAGGTGGAGGCCAGTAAGATGGCTGAGATGGGTGAAGGCCCCTGCTGCCAAGCCTGATGACCTGAGTTTGATCCCTAGGACCCACATGGTTGAAGGCGAGAACTCCCACAAGTTGTCCTCTGACCTCCTCCATACAGGCCCTGTGGCACCCTCCCCAACCCCCAACCCCCACAAAAAGTAAGGTGTAACAAATTAAGGTAGAGAGCAATTGAGGAAGACACCCAATATCAACCACACATACAAACATGGACGTATACACACACCACATACACACACACACACACACACACACACACACACACACACACACACACTTTATAGGGCAGACTGCGGGTGGCACTCTGGTTATTGCCCAGCTGTACTAGTCAGCTTTTCTCTGTTGCTGAGATAAAACACTGACCAAAAGTGTCTTGGGGAGGAAAGGGTTTATTGGGCTTACAGGTTGCAGTCCATCACTGAAGGAAGCCAAGGCAGGAGCTCAAGGCAGGAATTGAAGCAGAGACCATGGGAGAAGCTGCTCACTGGCTGGCTCCCCTGGCTTGCTCAGCTACCTTCACTGCCCAGGCCCACCTGCCTAGGAATAGTACCACCCACAGTGGGCTGGGACCATCCGTCCTCCATCAATCAGCAGTCAAGAATATGCCCCCACAGACATGCCTACAGGAAATTCTGCAATTGAGGTTTCCTCTTCCTGGTGACTCTAATTTGTATCAAGTTGACAAAGGCCAACCAGCACACCAGCCCTCTACCTTCTTTCATTGCACTCAATAAACTGTTCTTGAAAAGAGGAAAAGCTTACAGAACACCAGAGTCATTCTTACTGTGCAGCCAGTTACTTCATGTCATTTGATTGAGGGTACTTCAGCACAAGAACAAGTCCCAAATGCAGATTTGAAGGGACTGGAGATAAATCTTTGAAAGTTCTGTTTCTTTACAGCTGGATACGAGCACTGCACTTAAATTTGTGTTTACATCCCACTGAAGACCTCTGTACAGTCTTAGCACCTAACAGTCTACCAAGCTCCAAGGATCCTATCAAGTTAAATAGGCTGCAACATTAGAAAAAATTACATCAGCAGCTGTCAAGCGCCCCAAATGTAAAGAACTACAAAGATCCTAACCTTTATTTTCAAAGTTATGTGTGATCCAAACTGGCAGCTTCTCCAGAAGGAACGTGCTGTCAGTGAGCAAGCTCTGCTCTCTGAGGTGCTGGGCCTGCTCAGGTGTCTGGTCAGGCTTCCTTACAGCCCACTCACACCAGCTTACATGGCATGGTGTAGCTTTTGCTGGCTGATGGTGGAAACAGATTTGTAGCATGATGCCATTTAGGTAGGTTTCTTTGTCCTTTTAAAAACCATCAGTATCATCATCCTTATCTGACCTCAGTTTCACCTTTCAGCACTGGCAGTCTTCAAATACACCACCCTAATATTAGCATCTTCATTTTCTTCACTATCAGAAGATGCCCTGCTTCTTTCAACCATTATTTTTTCAATACTATTATTATTGTGGGTGTGGGTGGGTGTGATTGCATGTGCCACTATCTGTGTGTGGAGGTCAGACAGCCCATAGGAATCAGTTCTCTCCTTTGACTATGTGGATCACAGGGACTGAACTCATGTCAGGCTTGGTGGCTAGTACCTTTACCCACTGAGCCATTTTGACAGCCCTATTTTTTTGTTTGTTTGTTGAGATAGGGCTTCATGTAGCTCACTCTGGCCTTGAACTCACTATGCAACCAAGGATGACCTTGAACTCATCATCCTGCCTCCACCTCCCAAGGGCTGGGATTACAGGGTGCACCACAATGCCCAGTTTTATGAATGCTTCTGCTTTAACATGAGGCTCTGACAAAGTTCTTTTGATGTGTATTTCTTTTTTGAATAGTTTATTTTATTTTACGTGTACAAGTGTATTACCTGCATGTATCAGGCAGTGCCTATGGAGGTGAGGAGAGGACATCAGATTCCCCTGAAACTGGAGTTCATGCGGGTGCTGGGAATTGAACCTAGGTCCTCTGCAAGAGCAGCCAGTGCTCTTAGCTGCTGAACCATCTCTCAAGACAGTCTCATTATGTAGCCCTAGCTGGCCCAGAACTCACTATGTAAACCAGGCTGGCCTCTGCCTCCCAAATGCTGGGATTAAAGGCATGTGCCACCACTCCTGATTGAAGTGTATTTAAAGATCAGGCTGGTCTGGTCAGCTGACCATGTCCTCCTCTTCTAAAATATCTAAGCAGGGTTCTTTGCTTGGCCCGGGGGCTTTCCTCTGCTTCCTGAGACTGTTGCTTGCTATGGTCACCCAGGCCTTCCCCTCAGGGTTGCTGACAGGCTGGAGAGGAGAGGGACATAACCACAAAGACAGCGATCTCTGTGCTGGCCAATGGTCAGGCTGAATAGACTTGGGAACAAAAACGCAGCACACAAGGAAGTAATTTGTTAGGAGAGAGAAGGTGGAACTCACTACCTAGGGGACCAGACTAGGTGAGGAGGTTGCATTTCCTGGGGAAAGTTTCTTCCTCTGTGAGTGTCTCCCACTTAACAGCTACTGGGCTTTCTTCCTCTTGACCACCATGTCATGTAATCCTCAGCAGACTTCCAAGTTAGGAATTGCTCCCATTTACAAGTAGAGAAACTGAGGCTCAAAAATGGAAGAGAGCTTGCCCAAGATCTGCCCAGGACCAGGCCTGGGTTGCCAGGCTCGTAGTCCTCCCCGGGTACCTGCTGCATCCCCAGACCTGCCCTGCTGAGTGGCTCCCCACTCCCGGCATGACTGGCTCACCAGCTGCCTGGCTATTTCCCCCCACCCAGGAGGCCCAGCAACTCCGCTGCAGCTCTCCACTGCCATCTGTGTGCAGGAAACAGTGGTTCACCTCACAAATACTGGTCCCCTTCTCCTGCCAGAATCTCAGTCTCCAAGGGGACGTCCATAGCCTTATCAGAGACAATGGAGGCCAAGTGCGAGCATTCTGCCTGGGAGACCAGTGACTGTCCCCAGCCAACTCTCTGGGGACCACACAGACCAAGAACCACAGGCCCTAAGGAGAATGGGGACACTGAGGAACCCAGCCTGAGGAGGTAGAGGGCAAGGACTTGGTCTTGGGTTCCATGACAACCAAGGAGGGTGGGCAGCTGGGGGATACCACCTTTGAAGTTCTCCGTAGGGCCTGCGGAGAATCTTCTGCTGAATATTTCATGTTGTCTTAGAGGCAGGCAGATAAACTCGAGGATCTCACTTAACCTACTTCCTTCTCAGAGTCTGACCTGAAAGGTAGACAGGAGGTGGGGTCCTGACTCAAGCCAGCGTGGCCCTACCCCAGCAGTGAGCCTAAATGCACAGCAGCACTCACTTCCTCAAGAGCAGGCCACACAGTGGCTGCTGGTAGCTCAGGCCCCCAGAGCCTTCCCCCAGGTTTAGAGGGGGATGGTTCTGCCACAAGCCACCTCCCTGTTCTATTTTCCCTTTGTTCTCCTCATCCCATATTTAAAGCAACCACCTCCCACTGCCAGCTGCTGTCTTCAATCCTTAGAAAGGCAGTGGGGGGTGGGGAGAGAGCGGGCCACTGGGAGGCAGAAGGTTTGAATTATTATTAATACTTCCAGACTCTGGATGTGCTGGGCTATCTGCACTGAGCGTTCTGCACACTGGGTCTGGTTTGGCTCTTCTGTCTGTTCTGGGACAATGCTGCCTGCATCCTTCTTATAGGTGAGCAGTCAG